ATATATATATATATATGTGTATATATATATATATATATATATATATATATATATATATATATATATATATATATATATATATATATAAATCCATCACTGATTATAACTATTGTAACTATATATGTTTATTATGGTGGTTTTTTATTTATATATTCATTTTTTTTTACCTCACCGCATTGATATTGTGTGTGTGTGTGTGTGTGTTTTCTCTCTCTCGTTGTGAGTCTGTTCAAACACAAAAGCTCTGATAGGATGTTCAGTAAACACAAATATTAGCCATCGAACTGCATTAGCTGAAGCGTGCGGCTCTAATCTCTCACTTCAGGCTATAACTGTGTTTGCCGTGACTTTACACACTACACAGAGACAAAACTCAACTTTGTCTTGACTTCTCTGAAATGCTGTAAGTTCAGTGTGTCTTTTAAACTCGTCCAACATACATATTTCACAGGAGACCTCAGTTTTACCTCTTAAGATGAGTCTTTTCTCTATAATGTGAGGTGGAGAGAGATGAAGAGGGTGGGGGTGTTGTTACGAATGTGTGTGTGTGTGTGTGTGTGTGTGTGTGTGTGTGTGTGTGTGTGTGTGTGTGTGTGTGTGTGTGGAGTTTCTGCTGAGTTATGTAGGCCAGACCTAATTACCGCTGCAGGAGAGACTTGCAAATGAAAATCAAGCCGAATGCGAGGAAACGCCGCACAGCCCCGGTCACACTTTGAAAGTGCAAAGGCTGGATCCGCGGCTGGTTGCAGCTCACAGTGTTTGTTCATGTGGAATCTACTGGAAATGTTCTTCCTCCTCTTTTTAGATGGCGGCAAATTAGTTGAGTGAAATGCCTTTTAAAGTAATATGACAGCTACACTTGTCTTATTTATTTATTTATTTTTCTTTGAAGTCAATGTTTCACTTATTGGAAACTTAATTTTTATTGTTTCACTGTCATATTATTGGTGGTATTAAATAAACAGTTTTTGAATAAAAATCAATATATAAGGTGAGCATAAAGAAAACTGGCACTGTTTTTTTTTTCAAAAACATTTGTCATTTATCCATTCATTTATTTTCTTTTTGGCTTAGTCCCTTTATTAATCAGGGGTCATCAAAGCGGATAAACCATCAACTTATCCAGTATATGTTTCACGCAGTGGATGCCCTTTCAGCTGCAACCCAGCACTGGGAAACACCCATATACACTTGCATTCACACACACGGCCAATTTAGTTCACTCAGGTAACCTATAGCACATGTTATTGGACTGTAGGGGAAACTGGACCACCCGGTGGAAACCCTTACCAACATGGGGAGAACATGAACAGTCAAAATTTTTTTATTTTTTTATTTATGCATTTATTTTATTCCTTTATTTTTTGTTTTAATATAACAAATCACAGCCTTGTTTTAAGGAAATAAATAAAAAAATGTATATCTAAAAATATATAAGAATAAAAAATAAAACTGTACCTTTATGTATATTGTTTATTATTTATTTATTTATTTATTGCATTATTTATTTAATAATTGCTTTATTTATTTGTTTATTATTTATTTATTTATGTATGTATTGCATTGTTTGTTTAATTATTGCTTTATGTAGTGCTTCATTTATTTATTCATTGCTTTATTTAATTCTGTTTATTTATTTATTTATTTATAACAAGTTACAACCTTGTTTTAAGGCTAATAGGGAAACAAATAAATATATAATTATTGTACTTTTTTTCTTTGTTTTTATGTACACCACTATCTATTTTATTTATTTATGTATTGCTTTTTGTTATTTATAGCATTATTTGTTTAATTATTGCTCTATTTATTTATTGCTTTATTACATTATTTGTTTATTTAATTATGCTCTTTTTGGTTGTATTTTAACAAATTACAACCTTGTTTTAAGGCAAAAAAATGAATAAATAAAATAAATATTTTTTGTACTTTTTTATGAATATAACATTTATTTATTTATTTATTTATTTATGTATGTATTTATTTATTTATTTATTTATATTCATTGCTTTATTTATTTATTGCTTTTATTTATTAATTTATTGCATTATTTTTTTTAATTATTGCTTTGTCCATTGCTTTATTTATTCATTGCTTTTT